TGGGATGCCTGGAAGACTTTAGAACTAAACCCTAAAATGCTTGAACTTCGGGTGGTCTTGGGGTGGGCTGTCTGCTACGCACAGGTGCGAGCGGCCTGGGTGTGCACACACCAGCGAGCACCCATGACGTTACCACACCCCAAGCCCTAAACCCCTAAGCCCTATAAACCTTAAACCCAAAGCCCTAAACCCCTAAAGCCCTAAAGCCCTAAACCCTAAACCCTAAAGCCCTAAACCCTAAACCCTAAACCCCTAAAGCCCGAAGCCCTAAACCCCTAAACCACTAGAGCCCGAAGCCCTGGGTCTGTGAGAGTCGGGCCCTGTGCTGAGATCTCGGAGACCCAACTTTGGGCGGACGCTTGGCGAACTGTTGGCTTCCGGGCGCCTTAAGGGGATTTACGGGGGTGTTCAGGGGTTTGGGGATTTAGGGATTTCGGGGTTTAGGGTTGTTTAGGGTTTAGGGATTTCGGGGTTTAGGATTTAGGGGTTTAGGGGTTTTCGGGTTTACGGGTTTAGGGTTTAAGGGTTTATAAGGTTTGGGGCAGAGATCTATGAGGGCTCCGTTTAGAGCCCGCTGAGGGCTCCTTAAGGGGTCTATCAGGGCGCCTTAACGGATCTATGTCTCTGAGGGCTCCTTCAAGGGATCTACAAGGGTTCCTTTATGTCCGTCTAAAGTAAAGGGACCTCTAACGGCTTCCTTGAAGGGATGTAGCAGGGTTCCTCAAACGGATCTATAAGGGCTCCGCTCCTTCAAGGGATCTATAAGGGTTCCTCTAAGGGATCCGATGTAAATCCTGCAGTACCCATGAATTTTTCAAGATATCGTAATTCGCATAGTTGAGGGGTCCTTAAGGCAAGGCAGGATTTCCATCATCAACCGTATGGGTTTTGCAAAGGGTTTCAGGGCTCACGGGTTGGGGGTCTGCGGGTGAAAAGGGCCGTAAGGTTTCCCAAAAACCCTAAAACCTAAAACCCTAAGCCCTAAAGCCGTAAACCCTAAACCCTAGGGGATTTCGAGACTCTGAGGTTTAGTCCAGGATTGGTCTGTTACTTTGGCATCGGAAAGCCATGCGAGACCAGGACTTTTGGTTCACCGGACAGCTACCCGGACACTGTTTAGGGGTTTAGGGTGTTAGGGGTTTAGGGGTTTAGGGTTTAGGGAGTTTAGGGTGTAGGGGATACGCATTTGGCGGATCGACTTGTGGCTAGCTACTTTGATCATCGTGTGGTCAAGTCACGGCTGTAGCCCTCGCCCCCAACACTAAGCCTCAAATTCCTGGAGCCCTACCAAAGCCTCGTAGAATTGGCGGTGTTTGCACACGGGCCGAAGGGACGCATCATGTACATAAGGGTGCTTTGCACGGGTGTCCTCCTGGCCTCCTCCTCCTCCACTCGAAGCCTTCAACCCTGAACCAACATCTTTCTTCCACAAAAAAGCCCACAATTCCAAACTAAAGTCCTTCAACAAGAGTGCACCCGACACTCGGTCATCACTCATCCTGTTTTTTTCGTCCGATGAAGGACGAGCCGGCTGACGGTGAGGATATCGATGCAGCATTGCTGGAGGAGAAATCGTGTAAAGCCAAGTAGAACCATGTAAGGCTTTGTAAAACCTTCATACACAAAGGGCCCTATGTACCTATATAGTAGAATGTAGGGTTTCCATAATGGAAATTACTATTATGATGCAGGGAAGTATCCCGCATAACAGTATGTAGGACCCTTGGGGATATACCACCCTTGCTAGCTTGAGTCTTGATGCCCTCCCTAGCAGCATGACTTCCGGTCGGCCCCCCGACGGCTTCGGATTCCTTGGGTGTTCTATACGGGGGGTTTAGGGTTTATAGGGCTTCAGGGGTAGGGTTACAGATTGAGGCCCACGGACCTAGAAACCCTGACACCCTGACACCTTGCATAAGACCTAAACCCTAAAGCCTAAGCCGTGACTAGAGCTCGAGCTTTGTCAGGAGCTGTCCGACTCCAACAACATCCGCGCCCTCAGCATCTCGGTGGCGATGACTTCCGCACGGGCTTCCTTAGTATATAATACTTAGGGTTCCTTTGATTCTTGCTGCAGGCTTCTATAATAGGGTTCCCTTCAAGGTTTTCATAAAGGATCTATAGGGGTGGAAGGGCTTAAGGGATCATAGGACTGAGTATTTGGGGTTTATTAGGGGAACTATATCTATTATTACTTATAACCGCAATTAAGGTACTTGATCCTCCAAGATAAATATCCCCAAAACGACCCAATAATTAGGCACTTGGGTTTCGGATGGTAACTCTGAGTATCTGTATTCAGGCGTTACACCTATGTTTAATCAAGGGATCGTGAGCCACTTCTCTGCAGGAATTTGGGTTGAATGGAACACCTTCAATAGCGCTTCCTGAAAATTCTGCCCAATGAGCTAAAACCCTAAAACCCTTTAAAAGGGCCCCAAAAAAAAACTAAAGCCCTAAACCCTGAAACCCTTAAGCCCTAAACCCCTAAACCCTAAGACCTAAACACCTTTAAAAGGGCACAAACAAAAACCTCAAGCCCTAAAGGCCTAAACCCTTAATTATAGAACCCTATAGATCCCTTAAAGACCCCAAAAACCCTAAACCCTAAAACCCTAACACCCTAAACCCCAAAACCCTAAAACACCCTAAAGAACCTAAACCCTAAAACCCTAAACCCTAAAACATAAAACCCTGCAAAAGAACCCGTTAACAAACAAAAAAAACTAAAGCCCTAAACCGAGAGGCCCGGAGAAGCTCGGGGCTTGCGACTTCAAACACACCTGCCAGGGCCTCAGAGTTCGAAAGCCCTCACAACTCCAGAAGACGGTTTAGGGGTTTAGGGTCCCTTCAGGTAGGGTTCTATATCAAAGGGTTGCAAGGATCTGAGGCTTAAGGCTTTTGTGGCCTTGAGACGCCAATAACCGTACGGCCCAAGGGCTCTTGGTCATATGCCCTCCGGCCCTTGGCGCCTATGTTTTGAAGGTTTTGGGGCCTAACTACTTAACTAGAGCAACTAGAGTCGATTTCATACTTAAGCACATTAAAACTCCACGCTGGGGGTTTGGGGTTGAGGGTGTCGGGTACGGTTTACCTAGGGCTTGCTAGGGTGTAGAGTTTGTGCTCATGCATGCTGTTTTGCCTGGTGATTCCTGGAAGCTTTGTGTAGGTGCATGGTTCCATATTTAATGGTCGTGTTGCTGCTTTTATGCTTACAAACATAGTATTCCATTCGCAAGGCAATCATGCGCCATGCATTGTTACTAAAACACTACCCTTCTATGACACTCAGCCCCTGCACCCCCAAATCCCTACAAGCTAAACGGCTAAACGCTTAAATTCTCACCATACACGGCCCGTCTAAACATCGATGCAACCAGGAAGCGGACAGTCCAAGCACCACAACACCCCTTGCACAAGCCCGTCCGGCTGATGCATCAGTGTTCTTAGGATTTTTTAATTATAATGAAGTTTGAAGGGGTTAATAGCATATTATTGTCATTATCATGGTTCTCAGGGCCCTTAAGGATGGACCTGCTTTACGGCTTTACGTGAACTACAGTGAACTACCCGAGTTAATATTCCTTACTACTAAATTAATGCGTGTGAAAACACAGTAAACTTTCACTAAGCTCTAGGAAGCCACATAAACCCCTTCGGAACCCGATAGTGCAAGCCTCTCCCTAAGGTGGGACCATCTCTGGTTCCGGCAAGTTCATCTCTTGCAAGGGGCAGACTGGTCGCTTCCTTGTCATCAAGAAGACAGGTCCGCCGACTTGATATAGAAAGCGGAATACATGGTCATGCCATGCAACACCATTTCTTACTCAGCATTTTCATTTTAGCACAAGATACCACACAACTCTTTAGGATGTTTTTTTGCTTTTGTTGTGTGGGGGGTGGTTGGAGGGTACGGATCTAGAGTTTGGGATGCCACTGGGATCTTGTTCAGGAGCTTAATCTAAGTTCCAGTAACGAGGAAAGTACCATGTTTGCCATGCTTCCTTCATATGGTAGGAGAAATTTCCTGACAGGGAAGCAGGTGCAGTGCTCAAGGATGAATGCACAGGGGTTTTGGTCTATGTGATGCGAGAATTATTCTTGTAGGCTTTAGCATTCGAGGGGGGCGCAGTGCATTCAGAGTTTCGGGTTTGAGGCTTGGGTGTTGAGTCATATTATGTGTCACATGTGTTTTGTGACGGGCTGCGGATTCGTTCAGAAGTGTAAGGGTGGCCGAACTTTGCCTGGCAAAGAGGACCTCATCGGAATGAGGTGGGAGGAGGACGGCCCTCTCGATGAGATGTTCGGGTTGGAGGACTACTGTCCTTCCTATCCTGAGGGCGAAGACATGGTCTTGATCCAGCGGGACGAGATCCCTAAGGAACACCTTGCCCAAAGGCTCCATGTACCTTCATAGTAGATACTTAGGCCTTAAAGTACCTTTTTGGGGACCCCTTTAGGGCCTAAGTAGCTACTATAAAGGTACATGGAGCCTTTGGGACAAGAGCATCGACCACATCGCGCGATGGCTGATCGGAGTCGTGCGTGGGTCCAAATTCAGGATGGCAACGTGGCAGGGCAAATGGGTGGCAGTGTGCTACCTGGTGCCTGAACCTACCTTATCATACCTTCCGCATCTGGCAGGAGAAGCTAGGCTTTGTGTTTCCGTGTCCTTTCGCTTAATCATCTCCAGCTGTCACTCGGAACCTTGCAGTAGAAGCAAGAAAGCCGGAACATTGGACATCCCTGGCCCTGTAGCTTCGTACGGCAGGGAAAGGAACGTAGTACCTTTGATTCCTCTGCTCCGGCGTTGTGGCCTCTGCTGCCTATGCTCCACAATTCAAACCACACACGCTTCTAGTTATGTGGAGCCCCTTCTCGCCTGATAATTCCGGAAGTAATCTAAACTTCCTCTAAGGCTCAGATCGCACTCAAAAGGCTTGCATTCTATGGACTTAGGCCCGAAAAGCCCAGAATATCCCAGAATTATGAGTTCCCGGAGCCTGCGGCTAAAGGTTCAAGACCCAAATGGTCCTAAGTGCCTATATGGCGGATACTTACCCGAACCACAGTAGCAGTTCCTACACGTTCGTTCCCTATTCTGCAAACCCTTTCCAGAACCGTTGACACTTAGGACTTTATGGGAGAAAGGAGGTCGGGCGTTACAAAGTTTAGGGGTTTGGGGGTTTAGGGTTTAGGGTATATAGGGTTGCAGGAGGGGGGTTGGGGGCCTCTGACTTCTAAAGCAGAGGCTCCTGATCCATCAGCCGGATTTCGGGGTTCACGGTTTTTGGAGTTGGGCTTAGGGCTTAGGGTATTGAGTTTAGGGCCGTTTAGGGTTCAGGTATGAAGTTGTAGGGTCTGTATCGGCCTTAGGTGCTTTTAAGTCTAGATGTTCATTTGGATAGTTCGTCACAGGTTGAGGGGTGCCTCTGTTCATGAAGCCACGTCCGTGCAGGTGCTAGGCAAACACTCACCGTGGGCGAGGTGGAAGTGTGGGAGGAGCGAGATTTTTTTTGCGGATGCTGCAAAGTGCGATAGCTCCACCCTAACCCCTAACCCCATATAAACCCTAAACCCTGAACCCGAATTGAACCACAGTCCTACCGGAAGCGAGGCAGCCATCTTCCTTGAAACCCCGCAGCCCTTCACGAGCGAGGGTCCGCCTATGTAGGGTTTAGGAGTTTAGGGTATAGGATTGTACGGTCCGCTTATGTCGGGTTTAGGAGTTTAGGGTATAGGATTGTACTACCCTATATTTGGACTTGGACTATTGGGAAGCCTCTTCATTGAAGAGCATTCCTCTAACCGCAGTAAAGATGGAACCTTAAAGTATAGCTTTCATTGAAACCTTGCATGAGGACATATGGATACGAATCCTAATGCTAGGCTACCCAGGATTCAGACCGATATTCCTTGCCTCACATAACAGATCTACTTTCACTTTAGCCCCTTGTAAAACCTTATCAAGCCACCCCTGGGGGAACGAGGACGCCGTCTTGTCCCGGACAGCCGCTGTGGCTACGATGTCTGTCGCCAAAAAGGCAGTGGCTCTAACAAGACTTGCACGACTGAATCCCTAAACCCTAAACCATCCTAAACCCTAAACCCTAAGCCCTAAACTCTAAACCCTAAGCCCTAAACCTAAACCGTAAACCTTAACCCTTAGCACCAAAATAGTCCAAAAGCCTTGTATAGTAGGGTCTTTGGGCCCAACAGGCTTCCAACATGAGTCCTTTTTGGGAATGGGTAAACCCTGAGTTGGAGGGGTTCAGGGTTGATTGCTTTGGTGTTCATGTAGGGATCTCAAGGTTTGCGTTTAGGGTTTCAGGGCTTTAGGCGCTCAGGGCTCCAGGGTTTAAGAGTTTAGGGGCAGAGGTCTAGGCTGGCTTTAGATCTGGGCTGCCGGGCTTAGCTGTCAAGCAGTCGATACCGTCCAAGATCAGGAGATTACAAAGCCCACAGATGCAAAGCCAAAACCTACGTCGCGCATGCGAAAGCCTGGCAGAGGAGAGACATCTCATCTCAAGTCGCAGTTGTTTCAAGTGAGGCTACCTCTCAACGTAACGCAGCCGTTTCTACGAGGAGCTCAGGTCGAAAAAGCCTAAGCTGGAACACTTCCTTCGGTCCATGCCATTTGGTGCATGCGGTTGCAGTTACATTCTCTGGCCGAGTCCTAAACCCTTGCAAGTGCCCTCTTATGGCGGGTATTGGTGTCTATCTAAAATCGGGCCAAATCTTGGTTTACATGATTCGGTAACTCCCGGGTAAAGCCTGGCCAATTCCTGCAATTGATGCTCGTCCTGTCATCAAGCAACAGCACGCCAAACAACGGAGTTGACTATCTGTATGCGAATACTGTAAACAATACAGTCCTGCACCCTAAACTAGTTGCTTTGTGAACTCTTTCTCTTCGCCCCTACCAACAGAAGCTGCGACCCCCTCTAAGAGTTATGTTATGTTCTAAAACCCGATGGCCTGAACCCGTATCGATAACCCCCCCCCCCCNNAACCCTAAACCCCAAACCCCAACTTCAAGTCCCATTGCACCGTAAAAAAACCCTAAACCCTAAATCCTAAACCCCAACTTACCTGGACAGTGGGTTGCCGCTCAGTCCAGAAAGCCATCCAGTGGTTTTGGTTCTGGTTAAGGAAATGAAGCCAAGCTGCCATCATGAGGGAACCCTCCTATATACCGTAGATCCCCATCATGGTAGCCTGAGGTATAACAGTCCTCAACTAGGGCCCAGATGCTATCCTGTTCAGGGCGAGAGCAACGGACCAGACCGAATCTTGGACGATGCGTGGCAACCTCAGATGCAGAACTCAGCACAGCAAGATCCGTGTTTCTTTGCCCATTTTCAAGATGGCTCGGATCCCAAAGAATAACACAAGGCAACCAACCACCACGACCACCACCACCATCGCCACCACGACCACCACGACCACCACCACCTCCAAGACGACCACCACGACCGCCACTATTATCATTTCATCACCTTTTCTTGTCATCAACACCGGAATCAAGAGTATTTTACTCAAGCCTGAAGCCTCAGCCACTTTCCTGCCAGGGACAACACGGCAACGATTTCGCAGGCCCTCCTCTACACGATGGGTAGTCGCCTGGTAGTTCGGGGTAGACGTAGTTTCCCAGAGACTCCAACACCCTTGATTAAGGAATGTACCTTACATTTTGTTCGAGTTCCCGTGGAAAGGTTTAGGGTTCCTATATATGGTATCTTTCTTAGTTAGTGGAGTCTCCGGGCTAGTACTTGGGGATTCAAGGGTCTCGGTTGGGGGGCTTGAGGTTTAGGGCGCAGGGTTTCTTCGCTATTAAACTCTACATGATCTTTGCAACTGGAGGTTGAGGGGTGGGGCTCTTGGACTCTGCAAGGATTGTTCTAGATGTACGATGAACTTGCCACTGGGTTCTTATTCGGGAGTACTTGGGAGTTCGGAGGGTTCTGCAGGTCTAGGCTTATGCCTTCTGGAGCAGGACTAATGTGGGGACAGAAGAATGGCTCTGCACGGCCCTGCAAGTGTTCACTTCGAAGCAGTTGCGGTGTTGCTTTGCCCCAATTCCCTAAACAACCCTAAACCCCAAACCCCTAAACCCTAAACCCCTTAACCCGAACCCTAATCCCCCAAAGCCCTAAACCCCAAAACCCCCAAACCCTAAACCCCAAAACCCAAAACCCCAAAACCCCCAAACCCCTAGACCCCAGACCCATCGAGGGCTTATGGGGTCCTAGGACTCCCGAACCCGCCGAGACGAGAAAGCCCGACACACTTCCCGGTGGATCCTTTCCCAAAGGGTCCCATGTCCGGTTATGCTGGTCCCAAAGAACTCACCTTCTTAAGGGTTTAGATACCCAAAGGGTCCTATATGTACGATTATGGGGGATACTTCCCTGAATCATAAGTCAAAATAGTAGTAATTTCTCATATGAAAACCCTACAGGTACATAGGACCCTTTGGGGTAACCAGCAGACCGACAACTTTATTACCATGTCTCCTCAAAGGACTCATATTTTCAGGCTTTTGGGCCCAACGACCCTATTATGTAAGACGGTCCTCAAAGGACTCATATTTTCAGGCTTTTGGGCCCAACGACCCTATTATGTAAGACGGTTGGGCTATTTTGATGCTGACGGTGAGGCTTACAGGCATACTAAGGTAATGAAGGATTTACGTCATCAACAGTATCTGGGCACTTGGGGGACGTACTGTTTATGCGATCCTAGACCCAGGTTATATATATATATATAGGAGTTAAATAGAAATACCAAGAATGCCCCTTACTTAAAGCTCCTTATGAATAGTCAATTTTGCAGAGTTATGCTATAGAAAGATCCTCCAAACCCCTATTCTAATCCTTCAGGCTCCTACATTGCCTATTCATTTGGCCTTTGAACCTTTACCCTTACCCTCAAAGGACTCATCGTTTAAGGCTTTTGGGCCTTGCATAAGGCTTTTGGGCTATTTTGATGCTAAGGGTCTAAACCTTTAAGCCCTAAACCTAAAACCCTAAAACCCTAAAAAGCTCGTTTGATGCGAAGGGTTAGGGAAACCCCAGCGCTGACAGCAAGGCAGGCACCAACCCGTGGCTGCAGGTAGAGCTCGTGGACGAAGCTTGGCTTTCCGATGTACTTCCTGTAGAACCCTAAGGGTCCATGTACCCAAATAGATATACTTTGGCCTTAAAGTAGTCCCTATTTGGGTACTTTGGGGCCAAAGTATATCTATTTGGGTACATGGACCCTTAGGGGAAGTTATTCAAACGGTGACTGCGAAGATCTTTACAAAACTTGAGGTTGACGTAATATGGGTGGTTCTCTGATGGTCTCAAGCTTTCCAACTGCAGCTTCCTTGCTTAGTCTACCCATAGGCTCCTAAGTAGTTCCTCTTTGGGATTACCTGATAGGATTCTGAATATAAGCAACAAAAAGGAAACTACTTAGGAGCCTATGGGTAGACAGACCGGAGAAGCCTGCATTGAAGGGCTCAATGTTACAATGTTCTACCCCCGGTGTCTGAGAGCAACGGATCTGGGGACCCTAAACCCTAAACCCTAGACCCTTATAAACCATAGAGCCTATAAAC